AAGTCAATTCCAACCCATAGCAACCCCCTTTGGGTCCCTGAGGCAGTAAATGTTTACAGAAGTAGATTGTCCAGTCTTCCTTCCGCTGAGTGGCTGGTGGGTTTGAACCACCAACCTAATGGTTAGCAGTCAAATACCTTAGGCACTATACTACCAGAGCTCCTTATGTTACTATTAGACACTAATAATGTTTTACTTGTGCTTTTATAAAAGTGGAAAACAAAGTCTTTGAAGGCCCTCCATAAAACATAGCTACCTCCTCAAGAATTTTCATGAACTTTATAGGGAAACCACAGCCCAATAGCTATCTTTTTAAGAAAGGTACAGTGAACTCTGAGTCAAAGAAAAATTAAGATCTAGGCCTGAATCTATCATTTATAAGTTCTATGTCTATAGGAAAGTCATTTCAGCTTACCATACTTTAATTATGGGTTCAGAATTGATTATTAGATGTGTAGTTGGATCTGAGGAACCCTGGTAGCATAGTGCCTAAGGCACTTAACTGCTAACCAGAAGGTTGATGGTTCAAACCCACCAGCCACTCCTCGGAAGGAAGGTTGGGCAATCTGCTTCCATAGTGATATTGCCTCAGAAACCCAAGGAGGGGTCGCTATGAGTTGGGTCTGACACCACAGCACATTACAACAACAACAACAGTCAGATCTGACTCATAGAGACCCCTCCTTGGGTTTCCAAGGTGGTATCACTATGGAAGTAGATTACCTAACCTGCCTTCAGATCTTCCAGCTACAGCATCCTTAAATTCCATGTAATGCACCAAGCCCCCAAAAAATTAAAATTGAAAGACTACTCAAATCCCAGCCATATGATTTTCTTTGATACAAAATTTACTGTACAAATTTGCTAGAACTAGCTTCAGACAACATTTAATATATTGACATGTAGCTAAGTAGTGGACTACAATGCTTTTATACATCCAGGAAATAGCAATATTGTTAAAATTAATGAAATCCACCCAGGATGACAGGTGGTAGGGAGCGAAATGACATGGGCTTATAATCTTTATTTTTCCCAGATTATTTATCTTATAACAGCAGCACTTTGAAGCCTCATGCAGATGAAGAGCCAGAATCTCCACTGCTCTACAGAACTATGAGTGAAGCAGCCTTGGTAAGAAAAAGGATAAAGCCTCCAATGACAGACAGAAAAGACAGACAGAACCATAGGACCTCTATTAACGGACATTTCTACAACTATGAGGTGAGTTAAGTTCCCATCAAGTCAAGTTAAAATGGTGATGTCTATTTGTTGTTGTCTACAATACCATTCAATCCAATTTGTGATTAAAAATAGTAATAATAATGACATTTTGCCTTGTGTTGATTTCAACTCATGGTGAACTCATGTGTGTCAGAGTAGAATGGTGTTTCACAGAATTTTCAGTGGCTGATTTTTTTGAAGTAGATTTCCAGGCCTTTTTTCTGAAGTGCCTCTGAATAGATTTGAACTGCCAGCCTCTCCATTAGCAATCTGAGGAAGTGTATTAACTGTTTCTGCCCCCCAGGGACTCCTAAATAATAATTGTTGTTGTTGTTATGTGCCGTCGAGTCAGCCCTGACTCATAGCGACCCCTCCTTGGGTTTCCGAGGCAGTATCACTACGGAAGTAGGATTGCCCAACCTTCCTTCCGAGGAGTGGCTGGTGGGTTTGAACCGCCAGCCTTCTGGTTAGCAGTCAAGTGCCTTAGCCACTATGCTACCAGAGCTCCCAAATAATAATAGTAGTAGTATATCTAATAATTATTGGTAACTACATATGTGCTAAGTATTAAACTATTTTGAATTTATTTTCATTTCATTAATTGTTTCTAAAAAGACCTTTAAAGTAGATATCATTGTTTTCTCCACTTTATAGATGAATTAATTGAAGTTCACAGAGTCTTAGCCACACTGCTTTTAAGTGGTAACTCTGAACTTGAATACATACTTGTCTGACTCCAGAACCCATGTTTTTAACCAAAGTAATGGATGAACTCATCTGTATTTAGTTGAAAGCATCTCCCAAAAATTCATGGCCACCTGAAACCTGTGAATGTGATTTCATTTGGAAATAGAGCTTTCTACAGATGTAATTAGTAAGGGTGAGTCCTTCATAAGAAGAGGAAAAGTTAAATACGGAGACACAGAGGGAAGGAAGCCATGTGAAGATGATGACAGAGATTGAAGTGATGTGTCCCATGAGAAGGCCAGGTTCAAAACATTGATTATGATTAGCTCAAATAATTTAAGGAATTACATGACAATGTTTTTTTTTTTTTTTTTTTTTTTTTTGGTAGACATCAATTTTCACTCCAGCCTTTGAATCAGAAACTAAAGTAAGAATAAATAGTACTATGAGAACTGAAGAAGTGATAAAGGAACTTCTTCAAAAATTCAAGGTAATCTTCATAACTGAACTCAATTATAAATGTCTTGTATGTAATTTAATTGTAGGCATGTTTCTAAACCCACTCTTCTGAAAAAGACCTATGAACATGTAAAGTCTATCTTAATTGACTGTTCACTTATGAAGGATTCTTTCTTATATAATACTGATTTTAAAACTGTTCCCTGAAAAAAATTGTATTACTCCCAGGGGAGCAGGGAACTCTGATTTATTCTCTGAAAGTGGAAAATAGAAGTGTAGAAGCAAATACATAAATTGAATTTAGTTGGTTTGGATGAGATCATGACCACAGAGAATTCATGTTTGTTTATAATTTTTCCTTTGACAGATTGAAAATAGTCCACAGGATTTTGCTCTTTATATTATATTTTCAACAGGAGGTAAGAAAGCCTAATAATCTAAAACTCATTCTTCTCACATGGCTCCAACAGTTTATCTATCTCATGCTGTGGAAGGAAGGAAAGAAGGGAGAGAGAAATGGTGGGTGCTTGTGTGTGCACATAAGCATAAGTATTTGAATGAATGAAATTTATAGATTCATATAAGAACTCAGTCAATACCAAAACCAAAAAACCAAACTCACTGCCATGGAGTTGGATCTGACTCAGCCGGGTACTCCTCCTTGGGTTTCCAAGGCAGTATCACTAGAAAGTAGATTGACCAGTCTTCCTTTTGAGGAGCAGCTCTTCTGGTTAGCACTCAAATGCCTCAGGCACTACACCAACAGAGCTCCTATTGAGTCAATGTTGTTGTTGTGATGTGCCGTCGAGTTGGACCAGACTCATAGCGACCCCTCCTTGAGTTTCTGAGGCAGTATCACTATGGAAGTAGGTTGCCCAAACTTCCTTCCAAGGAGTGGCCAGTGGGTTTGAACCACCAGCCTTCTGGTTAGCAGTCAAATCCCTTAGGCACTATGCCACCAGAGCTCCACTAATATATTATATATATATATATATATATACACATACATAATCTATTTATGAGAACTGAAGAAGTGATGAAAGCCAGAACCTATTAAGGCAGAAACCTGTCAGAGAAGAAAACTCAAATATTTTTTACTAAAACAAGTGAAGAAAAGTGGTTAAGACTACACCCTGTCAAAGACAGAACACTTGAAAAACCTGAAAAAAAAAAGTCAATCCCGTGGAGTTTTGATCCATAGAGAAAGTCATTCTCTGATTGGCACAAATGTTTAAGCACCTGACTAGTGTCCAAAAAGTGGCAGTTCAAAACCACTCAGAGACACTTTGGAAGAAAGGCCTGCCTAGTGGTCTGCTTTCAAAAGATCACGGCCTTGAAAATTCTATGGGATGCTTTTCTGCTCTGTAACACACTCTGCCATGAGTTGCAATGACTTGAAGGCAACTGGTTTGGGTTTTTTGAGCTATATATTGAGGCATGTTGCTTGACAAAAGCCATAAATGGAGCAAACATTTGTCTGAATAACATAACCAGGGGCAAGGTTGAATTCTCTAAGATATTAGGTCAAAACTTTAAGAACAGCAAAAGAAAAAAACTCCGTTTTTAATTCATTGAAAAGTTTTCATTTCATTTTGTTATGTTGAATGAGTGTCTCCTGATATGTGAGCTTTTCAGGTCCTATTTACTTCCACGTAAGCTATAGAAAGAAAAGAATGGGCAGATTTTCTTTCTTCTTTTTCTCTATCATGGACTTCTTTTTCCTCTATAATGGACTTCTGACTGTGGTTGATTCTTGTTTCATTTGCAGAACGGAGAAGGCTAAAGAAGACAGACATTCCTTTATTGCAGAGGCTCCTACAGGGACCTTCTGAAAAGCATGCTCGCATTTTCCTCATGGATAGAGATACAGAAGAAATTAGCAGCGATGTATGGATACCATAACCCTGAATCTGCCTTATTTCCTTTCTGAGTCAGCACCTCAAATATAAACACTCTGTTTTTCCCCCATTTTTTCTTTCTCAGGTGGCTTGGTACATTAATTTTCATTTTTCTTTCTTGGAAACCATTCTTCAAAGATTAAATAAAGAAGAAAAAAGAGAGATTCAAAGAACAATAGCAAAGTAAGTCAAGAGTAAGCATTCTAGATACATGGTCCTCTAATAAGTTCAAAGGCACACAATGTGTTCAATTTTTAATATTTTTTCTCTCCTTATTTTCAGATTCAGTACAGAAAAGGCTATGATACTGAAATGTCTTCAAAGTAAACGTGTAGTAAAAACAGAGACAACAGTTTAGCTTTACAGACCACTACTGCTATTGTGGGGATGGCACAGGACTGGGCACTGTTTCTTCCTTGTACATAGGGTCACTGTGAGTCAGAAACAACTCAAATGTCACCCAACAAATTGCTGAAACAGGTCAAGAAGTTAGAAATCTTTTAATATGGGATGAGTGCATAAATGCTATATCTATAGTCATACAAATATATATATGTGTATATGTATATGTATATATATAAAAGCTCTGGTAGCATAGTGCCTAAGGCACTTGACTGCTAACCAGAAGGCTGGCAGTTGAAACCCACCAGCCACTCCTCGGAAGGAAGGTTGGGCAATCTACTTCCGTAGTGATACAGCCTCGGAAACCCAAAGAGGGGTGGCTATGAGTCAGTTCTGACTCAATGGCACATAACAACAACAACAACATATAGATAGATAGATAGATAGATAGATAGATAGATAGATGACTTTGAATCTGTAGAAAATTGAATGTCCAAAAAGCTTGTCTCTCTTTGAAGTGATGAGTTTAACTAGGATTCACAGTTGGACTAAAATGAGGTTGAATTTAGTTTCAGTAAGTGAAATAAATTTGAATACTGTGTATTCCAAATGTCTTTTATACTAAAATACCTAATGAACTTGAATTTAAATGGCATTTTCAGGCATCATATAGTTTAAGCTTCTTTTAGCTCTGATAGCATAGTGCCTAAGACACTTGACTGCTAACCAGAAGGCTGGTGGTTCAAACCCACCAGCCAGTTCTCAGAAGGAAGATGGGGCAATCTACTCTGTAGTGATACTGCCTCGGAAACCCAAGGAGGGGTCACTATGAGTCGGGTCTGACTTGACGGCACATAACAACAACAACAACAAGAACTGAAATAGTAGCTCTGGTGGCATAGTTCCTAAGGCATTTGACTGCTAATCAGAAGGCTGGTGGTTCAAACCTACCAGCCACTCCTCAGAAGGAAGATTGGGCAATCTACTTCCATAGTGATACCACATCGGAAACTCAAGGAGGGGTCGCTATGAGTCGGATCCGACTTGACAGCAGTGAGTTTGTGAGTTTAGAACTGAAATACTATCAACCAACTCTCAGAAATGACTGAAAAGTAGAAGGTACAAGTTTTCAAAGTAAACAAAAAAGTATACTCTTACACTACCAAGGTGACCGTGTTTTATAGCTCCTTGAAAACTGCCATTTTCATAAAATCTAGGACTTTCTTTATGTGGGTTTATAATTTTCAGCTATCTATAACATCAGAACTATTTGTCCTTTGGGAAGAAAAAGATAATGAACTTTGTTAAGAAATCAAAATGGTCATTTCTCAACCTAAGTCCTATGTTTTTTTCTCTGTTCTACTAATTATATTAAAAAAATATTCTTAAGTTTTTTTTTTCTAAACTCAGATGAACTATATTTCTTTTTCTTATTTTGCCAAACAAATATACCATAGAGACTTAATTTATTTCATCAGCTAGGACAGTTGGGCGATCTACTTCTGTAGTGATACCTCATAAACCCAAGAAGGGGTTGCTATGAGTCAGGTCCGACTCTATGGCAGATAACAACAACAACAGAACAATACTCATGGCAATCCCATGAGTTCTACCCAGTTAGAACTGTGCTCCATACAGTTTTCAAGGCTATGACTTTTCAGAAGCCGAACACGAGGCTTTTCTTCTGAAGGGTCTCTGAGTAGGCTTGAACCAACAGCCTTCGGGTTAGTAGTTGAGCACTTGACCATTTGTGCTACCCAGAGACACAAGTAGTCACCATGAATTGGAATCAGCTTGAAGGCAACTTTTCTTTTTGTTCAGTTTAGGACAATAATTGGCCCACAATAAGTATTTATTGTTGAACAAAAACAATGGATAAAGCAAAGCTGGTGTAGCTGAAACCAGGCAAGGATATGGAGCTCAGCTCTCTCAGCATCCCTCTGATATAAGACAACCCTCATGATAATTCTCAAATGTTTACAAATCTTCCTAACCCATTTAGACAAAAGGAGAGAAAAAAATAATCACCTAAGAATGAGGAGATGGCCGAAGTATCATCTATGAATTTATTAATGTACTATATGGCACATAACAACAACAACAACAACATATGCTACAGTTGAGTTTTACGTAACATCCTTCTATTCTTTAGCCTACTTCCATTTGAATTCCTCACATTTTTGATATATTAATAATCCACAAGATTCATAAGAGAAGTACCAAGATAGTACTTTTTAATAGAAAGTATTTTGAAAGAAAGTAGCCCTGGTAGCAGTGGTTAAATGCTCAGCTGTGAACCGAAAAATCAGCAGTTTGAAGCCACCAGTGGCTCTGCAGGAGAAACATGTGGCAGTCTGCTGTCATAAAGATTACAGCCTTGGAAACTCTAGGGGGCAGCTCTACTCCATCACATAGAGTTATTATGAGTAGGAATCACAGCGGGTTTCTTTCTTTCTTTCTTTTTAATTTTTATTGTGATTTGTGTGAAAGTTTACAGAGCAAATTCATTTTCCACACAGCAGTTCATACATATTTTGTCTCATGACATTGACTGCATTTCCCCACAATGTAACAGCTGTCTTCCTACTTCCTCCCCATAGTTACCTCTTCCCTTTGTCCTTCCCTCCCATGCACTCCTGCCTCCTGAGCTGTCTCCCTGCCCTTCTATTATCCCATGACTGATCTCTCCAAGGAGTGTATCTACCTAATGTAAATGTTCAGCTCATATGCCTATCTTTTGTTTGGCTAGAAGCCACAGGAGAGTAGGTTCAATTCCAGACCTGAAGGGCGTAGTCTCAGGGGTTTCACCAGGCTCTAATAGACCAGAAAACATGATCCTTCTTTTTTTATGATTTTAAGTTTTGTTCCACATTATTCTCCCACTCTGTGTAGGATCTCCTATATACATCCCCCTCTGAGTGGTTGACAGTGGTAGCCAGGCACCATCTAGTTCTTCTGGCCTCATAGTCATATAGGCTGAGGATCACATGATGTATGAGTGCCTTGGACTAATTGTTTCCATGTGTCTTTGGCTTTCTTCATTCTTCTTTGCTCTGAACAAGGAGAGACCCATCATTGCATCCAGATAGTTGCTTGCAAGCTTTTAAGATCTCAGTTGCTACTCGTCAAAGTAGGATGTGGAACAATGTTTTTGTGTAATATATTATGCCAATAGAGCTTGATGGCCTCTATAACCATGGTCCCAAGCCCACAGGTCCAACTACTTACTCCCTCCAGGTAGCTGGCTGTGACCAAGAAGTGACTACAGCCTTGCCCTTTGTCAGCTCTACTATATACCTGGGCATTCTTACAGAATACACAAATATGTTTGTAGATACATTGTCTGCCAATCCTATACATAGTCATGGTCCCATTCCCCCCTGCCTAGACATACCTGATCGTTCAGCCTATCCACCCATCTATCCACCCATAGATCAATCCACACAGTAGTATATGTACAAAAGGGTTCATCTTTGGTGTCTGTATCCCAGGAATCATAGTGGATTTCTTTTGAAAAGAAGAAGAAGAAGAAGGAAAAAAAAAGCAGATGGCATAAAAAATACCAAATTAAATTTAAATGGCATTTTCAGACATCATGCTGTTTAAGCTTCTTTTAGCTGGAACTGTCAAGAAAACTGAAATATCATCAACTGACCCTCAGAAATTACTGAGAAGTCAAAGCTAACAGTTCTTGAAATAAAGAAGCACATTCTCACACCACTGAAGAGAAAAGGCAAATGGCTAGTAAACATAGGGGAAAAGTTTCAACTTAACAATGATCAACTCTCTTAGGCTATGCCCAATTACAAGACAGAAATCATGCAGTGATTTAAATAGGAGAAGTTTAATATGAAGAATTATTAAGTTATCACAGGAGAGTAACTATACAGATTGAAAGAGAACTCTAAAAGGTACCATAATGTTGAAGAAGAGTATCACAAAACAAATAGCTTGAAATGGGGGTCCAGAATTCACTGGAGAAGATAGTACTGAAGCCCATTGGATGGTGGAGATGTTCTTTAGGTTGTGCAAGCCAGAACTAGGCCACAGTTGCTGGACAAACAGAAGCAACCCTCTGGCGTGTGAATGACCCAAGGAAAATGGGTAGGTGTGCAGAAGGAGTTGGTGTGTCACTGTAGATACAAGACCTGGAGTGCTTTGTATCTGTGTCAAAATAATCATAGCAAGCAAATATTTGGGGGAAATGTGAGCAAAGGCTGATGGGTGGGTACAAAGGAGTCAAGCATACAGAGGGAGCTGGGGTACCACTGTGGGGGCTGCTGGACTAGAAGCTGGAGAACTTGTTCATTTCTGTGTGACTTGGGCTTGAGCAGCTTCAAGAGGATGCATTGAAAAAGGTTGTGCAGCTGGCTAGTTAGGTGGCCAGCCCTATGGGCTCTCTATATGGACAAGCACAGGGCCTACAAGAAGGTATGGAGGACAATGACTTAAACTAGGTATAGGGATACAGTGGGGATCCAGGCTATGCTTAAAAAACCAGTTGTCTGTGAGTCAATTCAGATACATGGCTACCCCATTTGTGTCATAGTAGAACTATAGTAGAACTGTGCTAGATAATGTTGTTTAATGGCTGATTTTATGGAGGTAGACCACTAGGCTTTTCTTTCTGAGGTGGACTCGGACCACCAACCTTTCAAAGGTTACCAGCCTTTTGCACCACTCAGGAACCCACAAGCTACACTGCTTCTGCCCCAGTCTAGAGCTGCAGAGAGAAAGGGACAGCAGCTGCTCTATAGACAACTACCACTAAGAAAACCCTCTGGGCAGAACAATGGAGAAAACCTGCTCTCCAGGATTCTGGCCAGCTAACAAAGAGAAGCAGGAAAAAACTCTTTCTTCTGAAATGTCTCTCCAGTTCTTTCTACTGACAAAGCACAACATCATGCCAGCAATGAAGGAAAATATAGACCCACAGCAATTTTCACAGAGCAGGCATTAAAGAATGAATTCGGAGCTGAGAAGCAATAAAATGATAACTGACACATCAGAAAACAA